GGCGCACTTTTTCATGGCAACAATGCCTCGATGACCTGCGTGGACAAGCGACATGGCCTGTTCGCGAAGTGCCGCTGGAATTACAACTCTTGATCCCAAGGTGACGCAACCGCGATGAGTGCTCAACTCCGCAGCTCGCTTGCGGTAAGCGTTGAAGTGTTCACCCTTTAGCTTCTGCACGTTGCCTTCTTGTATAGCTGCGTAGACTTCCTTCAAGACAGTGCACTCCTGCGTTGATGCTGCTACCGTGTCAGCTGTTAGCGGAGGGTTCGGCAGCGCCTCGAACATGAGTATATCACCCGGTGGGGGTGGTTCATCTATTGTGGTGTCTAGCGGCAGGCGGCTTAGTGCGTCGGCGTTCTGGTGTTTCTTCCCCGTGCGATGTACGAGTTCGTAATCGTACGCCGACATCTTGATGCACCATCGTGTCATTCGCGGCGACAATGTCTGTGGCATTGGCTTCTGGGGACCCATAATACCCAATAAGGACCGGTGATCTGTTATGAAAGTCACTTTCCTGCCGGTAATGTACTGCCGAAAGTGATCTGCTGCGTAGACGATGGCAAGTCCCTCTTTATCTAGCTGGGAATAATTCTTCTCTGCCTGCGATAGGGTGCGCGAAGCAAAAGCGATCGGGGCTTCCCGTCCCTGGTCGTCAACTTGGGAGAGGACTGCTCCCACTCCGTATGGTGATGCGTCACAGGCTAGCAGTAGGGGTCTCCTTTCATCGTAGTGTCGCAGAACAGTAGACTTGCGAAGTAGTTGATTAAGGGCAACAAATGACTGTTGGTGGCGTGGCGACCAAGTCCATGGGACTTCTTTCTGCAGGAGCTGATATAGATCGTTGGCCACTGTAGCTCGATGTTCTAAGAACCGGTCGTAGAACGTCAATAGCCCCAAAAACGACTGCAGTTCTTGCTTGTAAGTAGGCGCTCGTGCTTGATTGCACGCACTTTGTCTTCAGTGGGATGAATACCCTGCGCGTCAATTTGATGTCCAAGAAACATCACTTCAGGCACCGCAAAAACAAATTTTTCTTTACTGATGCGCAAATTAGCATTTGCTAGCCTTTCAAAAATGAGCTCCAAGCGTTCTGTGTGCTCTTCATTGGAGGCGCCACCGACAATAACATCGTCGAAGTAGACGCAAACACCTGGGATCCCGCTAAGTGTAGACTCCATAAATTTCTGGAAGATTGCTGGTGCTGCAGATATTCCGAATGGTAGCCTTTTAACTTTGTAAAGACCCTTAGTAGTGTTTATTGTGAGCAGTTCAGACGTTGATTCGCTCACCTTCAGCTGCTGGTAGGCTTGTGTCAAGTCCAAGGTGCTGAAGATTTTTCCACCACGAAGCGTGCTAAAAACCTCTTCCGGTGTCGGCAGTGGGTAGGAAGATGCTTTTGTCGCCAGGTTGACAGTGCTCCGGTAGTCTCCGAAGAGGCGTAGGGTACCGTTCTTCTTTCGGACGACAACTCCGGACATAACAGTAGGCATGGTGAATGCTGTTCCCAACTGCTCTCGCTGTCAGAGCCACGCCTACCGCACAAATTTTGGAACGCCGTCAACATTCTTACATAGTGGTGGTTTTCGTTGATGCTGTCGCGTTGATAGCGCCTCTATGCGGCTTTCCGTTAGTTCATATCTGCCGCTTCTTCTGTATCAAAAAGGTTCGTGCTTTTACCGATAACGCATTTTCCACCCACCCGTGATTACAGCTCGCAGTGGTGCACATTTCGGCTGAATAATTCTTAATGAAAGTTGTTGAGAACTTAGATATCTGCTAACAACTATACCTTACTTTACAGGACTTCAAAAGTAAAGGACTGTGCTCATCGGAGTTCTCGCGATGATTACGACCGAATTACGTAATCTTTTAAGAGCCCTCCTTGTTTAGGAAAAACACTGCCCTCTCGCTCCTTCACTTCTTTTCTAGCTTTTTTTTGTTCTTCTCATCCTTTAGTTTTCGCAACCGTTAATGGTAGGGTACCACCACCATTTCCTGTCTACGACGCTTACGGCCCCATCACCATCACGGCCATTTAAACACACACTCAGAAAGAGAGAGATAGATTTAGGTACCAAAAGGGAAACTGAGTAGAAATAACTGATTGGTATACTATTCAATTTGTGAGCCATGACTTGGAAACACTTTTTCCTCAATCTGAAGGAATGGGTCATTCTTTCCTACTATTGATTATTCATTTTTTGTTTTAGCTCTTTATAACGTTTTTTTTTTGGCCTTTACGAAAAATAGCAATATGCTGCTTGTATAGCGTTTTTAATAAAAAGTCACTGATTTTATCGCGAGTACTATGTTCACACCATGTCTTTTATAGATTCCTATATTTAATGACTTAAATACTTCACAAGCGAATGACGCACGAAAAGTGACATATTTTGACAAAAGTAGGAAAGATAGCATTGTGACTAATATTGCAGCTTTATTTATGAAGTGAAGCATTTATTGTAAATATGTGGCTTTTATAGCGTTGTGTAGTATGCTTTGTTGGTAAAATAAACAGAAAATTTAAGATTAGTTTTTCTTTTAAGCGAAGAAAAATTTTCAACTGCACCACCACTAAGGTAGCCAACGATATACCTTTGCCTCGCTTCAACTGTATAGCAATTCAGCGCGATATTCTCGTAAGGCCTATTTGGGAGCGGATACTAGTAGCCACACAGCTGCTTGTCACTTCATTTAGTAATACAGATGTATAGAGATGTCGAAAAGGGCAATAGTGCTGAAATTAAGGAAAGGTATCATCCCGCTTGTATAAAAAAAGGGAAGGTTTTATGCAAATTCTTCATAGTTCCTTGAGCCTAAATATATTGTTCACTGGTCTGCAGGACATTTTTAGGGCATTATGTTTGGCTTCGTGTAAATAATTCACCTGGGCATTGGTAATACTCAGCTGTATTTTTCTCAAGGTGGTCTTAAGATGTTTCAAGTATGGGCTTATATGTGATCACTTACGATTGGTTTGCATCATGAAATGATTCAACGTAGGCGCTGATGCTGCTGATAATTTGATGTCGTGCCCATATATGACACTCCAGTGAACATTTTCGAGAAGATTGAACACTGTCATTGCCCTTTTTATTAAGAGCCTGAATACGCAAAGTTGTTTAAAGCCCGTTGAACAGTTGGGACAGGCTTTTAGAAATTAGAGCGCCTTCGGTATGCAGTTAATATAAAGTAATGAAGAAACTACTCAAACTCAAATGAGAAACTACTCATCAAGGTCACTGCTGTTCTCATATTGTTGTTAGAGTATTATAAATAGCATAATGCAGTAAAATAGCAAAAATAAATTGTTTCGACATTTATGACCGCTTCGCAAAAACAAAAATCACTGTTGGTACTCAACCCTGCACACACTGAGAGATTTGTGACATCACCGCATGCAATGTGCATGTGAAAGAAAAAAAAGCGTGGCAGTTCCCTTATAACAAAACCCAAAGAAGTGCGTAGCATGGGAAGTGAGCGACTCACGTTCGCAAAGGTCCCGCATTTCTGTTTACCAAAGTGTCAACCATAGCACTGTTTACATGTAAGGTGTCACAGCCCCAAGTGTATACTTGTTAGGGAAATTTGCAAACTTAGATGAGACATGGTCGCTACCATTTGGTGCACTTCATTTTGACTTCCCTCTGGTTACGGCACCTTATATGCGCGTCGTTTGCAGCAAGTTGCGTCAGGCTATTTCACCAATCAGATGTAGTCATGCAGCACCATGATAAAGTGTAGATGAGGGGCATTTCTAACTACGTACAACTATAGTATTTTTACAAAGTTTTTTTGGATCCCTGAAGTCATGATCACCGCATAATTTCAAAGCTTTTAACAAGTTTTTGCGTGAGAAAGAGCACAAAAAAGAGCCCCGATATTTTTAGAGCATTCAAGCTTTTGACTCATCACCAAGCTTATCATCAACCACACCTCTCCTCTACTGTTTTTAGTACTTTTCTTTTTTTCTAATCTTAAGTAGCACGTCATGAAATTAATTTTCGGCTAACTTCTCAGATTTCTACAACAATAGACCTCTCACTCGTTGTGGGTAGGCTGCTTAGTGTTTATGTTTTCGCCTATAATCATGGTTAAGTATAGTAAAATGAGTGAGTACCTTTCTGTGGGAGTATCTCTAAAACTTTCGCTCTTTAATCATTCACATGTTTCAAAACCTGGCGCGGTGCACATCTGCCTCGCAATATGCCGTGCTTTATTAACGTTTCTTTCACTACAAGGCATACACAGATAATTTTCTTTTTGAAGTCACTTCAAGCATTACTACTCGAGCGAAAATTTCTTATTCCCTTTATTTTGCACCTTTGACAATCTTGCGCCCACAACCAACGACACCAGTGCCGATGTTTTCGCGAAACGATTACAATACCGTGTGAAGCTAGTGCTCAAGTGTTTGATTCAAACACATTGATAATGAAAAATTAGTAACTAAAACATGCTGTATTTCACACCAACAAAGACGTAGCACGAATACTTAAGTGTCCTTAGTACCGCAAGCACACCTCAGCTGCAAACTAATTCACTTGGATTGGATGCGTTTGGGGCAGCAGTGCTATTGCAGACTGAGCCACAAGATCGTTTCTTCAAGTTAACCTAATCGAGTTCTCAGTTTGAATTGTTTTTCAAACAAGCTCCCAAACTACCTGAAGCTTGTCGTCCGCGATGTACCCTTCACGTTCCAGTTCATCCAAGCGAAATGAGCGGGCAGTACAATATGCTCCAACATTTCGCTCTGTATCAGGTCTCGCATATTCCTTAATATTAGTAGCGACCACCAGTCTCTGACACTCCTTGCTTTGTGATGGATGTTTGATGGTCAGCCTAAAGTTCTCCTCAAAGGGCCATTGAAGAACACTGTCTATGATTCCTTTGTGCAGCCTGATGTGCGGACACATCAAAACATGTTGTCCGTCTCGTTTAAAATATATGCCTGGTGACAAGAGATAACCCGATGTGTACACTTTTTTCTTCTCATATGCACAAAACCCATTTGCAAGTGCTCTGCCTTTAATGTGTTCAGGCCTTCTACAGAGAACTCGTGTCGTTTTAGTGTAATTGAGCTTAAGGCTGAGATTTTTTCTTTATTTTTCACAATCGAACCGGCCTTTGTTCTCGCACTCCTTCACTTCAAGGATTGCGGCAACAGTTTCTGCGCAGTTGCTGGAGGCTGCCTTTTTGACATTCTCAAGATCTCTTCTCATGGCTTCCCTCAGCACGCTCCCCTCACCACAAACAATTTCTTTTAAATCCACTCTCAAGGTGGTTGCTGTGTCTTCTTTCAGCTCTTCGACACATCGCTTCGTGCCATATAAAAGATCTTTCAGTGCTTCGTGTGAATTGCCTATTGTTCCTGAAAGCTCTTGTAACATTTGGCCATGGTGATTCAGTGTTACTGTGCTATGTAATACATCTGAGGCAGACACAACACTGCCCAAATCTCTAGTTCTATGTGATATTTCTTTAAGTGTTTCTTTCATCGTGTTCATGTACTGCGAAATCTCATTGAGGCAGTTACTTTGGGTGATATTTTCCTGGGTAAGGTGGTCTAAAGTGTCTTTGATTTGACCTACACGTGTGCACATGTTTGCATTCAAAGCCATCATTGTCGCATGCTGGCTAGATGAGTTCAGTTGAGGACTCGCCGCTGGCGCCGACATCGCGTGATCCATGCACTCGCTCTGCATGTGGGCACACACACTATTACAGCGTACGACCATCGAACATCTAGGACAGGAAGTGGAGTGGTGGTCACAATCTTTGCAAAAGTGTTTGTTGAGTTCCGATGCAGGCAAAACAACGTCGCAACCACGGTCTTCGTTCCAGCATTTCACCTGCAAGAGAGAGAAACAAATTACTTCAGATATTTTTTTACGTCTCTTCAAAGGCTGGTAGTTTCTACGTCCTGGAGGTTAACATTGTTACGTGCTGAGAATTTACACCACTGTTCATTGCACTTGAAGCAAATGAAAAAGAAAGCATGGTTGATGTGTCATCGCATGTTTTTGTAAGTAGAGCCGAAGATACAGTTAAAACTGTTGCTTTGGCGAGTTAGTTCATGAATATTGGGACTGATTTATGAGCGCAAAAAAGATGGAACTTATAGAAAAGGCACAATCAGCGCTGTGTGTTTGTGTCTTTTTTAGAAGCTCTGTATTTTTTGCGCTCATAAGCTAGTGTAAACAAAGATACAGGTATAGTATTTAGGCAAGATGAATTGACAGTAGCTGAATATATCTTATTCTTCATTAGTATCTACCATAGTCATATTGACAAATTGGAATTATCCTTAACCTAAAGAAAGCAGTGGTAATCAGAGAAATAAGGATAATGTGGAAAGTAAATTGAAGGAAAGCAGTGATTCTTCTCATATAAAAAATAAACAAACGTGCGCAGGCGGGCAGAGGCGTAGAAGACTATGAAATGTCAGGTAGGTTTCTGCCAATCTTTTCGCGCTTATTCGGCAATTCTTCAACAGTTTTTTTGCAAAAATATCTTTTACGCAGAAACGTTTTTCATCGCAAGCTATAGAAGATACGATCCGCATGGTTGCTTCGAGCTGCTGGGGGCGAGGACAGCTGCCGAGTTTTTCGTAACCATCACTGGCAGAAAACCTAGATCACTAATAGCCAGTGGTATGTAGTGGCTGAAGTCCACGCCGAACTCCGGATTAACATGTTATACAAAGAGTGAGCAATAAAATACAAAAAAATTACTAACAGATCCAAAACAGTCACGCTCAGGTTGCCTTATATATTTAAAGGCAAAGCTTCAGGTGTCTCGTGGAAGTGGAAGAGTTACCTACAGCTTATCTAAGGCGTAAACCTTCAGGAAGCCAAACATTTCCCGCCATGGGTTGATGTAATCATGGCGTCTAAGGTAGCCCGAATTCGCGATGGTACCAACGCGTCATTTGTCATAATCATGTGATGCTGACACTTGGTTGAAGATGAGCTGAACACGTGAGCTGCAGACAGCTTCCAGTTCCTCCAATCTTCTAAAAATGCGGAATAGTGTCGGTAAGCTTTCGGGGAGGGGCAGGAACGAAGCCATTGTCTGATAAAAACAAGATGGCTTTAGTGCACCAGTCTCTTATATGCAGACACGTAATTAACCATGTTACTTTTAAACAGTTTATCTGCTAGCAACTGCGTGCCCTCCTTGCATAGTGGCGCACTCAAACATCTCAATAGCGATAATGCTATCTGCGTACTTCATGCGCCCGAAGATTCAACACAAATCTATCGAATTGTGAACTGTGAGCAGTGCAGTGCAAACTGCTCCTTAGAATAGAACCTCAGTAGAGTGACTTTATGGGCGTGTTGGTTTATTCTTACGGTAGCTTTTACGCGAACCAAACACGAGAGATGAACAAGGGCAAAGCTTGTTCGTCTCTCGAGTGTATTTCGCGCTAATAGCTACCGTAAGAATGGAACCTCCGGAATTCGTCATGCCATGAAACTGCCGAATATTCGTGTGCAAGCCTTTTGAGGCCACATTCACAAACGGTCAGGCATCGGGAGAAACACTACTGGAGTGTTCACTATAAAAGCGCCATAATAACACTAATCAGGTATATTGGGCAAAAGTAATATCTTGTGGGAAAAGCTGCAAAGGCGACTGCCGTTTAGCGTTTCCGAAACTAGTTACGCAAAAAGAGTCGAACCCCCAACAAAAGAATGTATTCACGATCCTCAAAACATAGAGTAGCAAAACGTCTCGGAGCATCCAGATCTCCCTCGCATAAAAGCAGGTACGTAGGACGCTTCAGAAGTGTACGATGCTTCAGACAACCTTACGATGTGATTCAATCATACTCGCTGCTCGACAGCACCAAGCGTACGTATACGCTCCGTAACACTGCAATACTGTTTAACACAACATAGGACGTTTAGCTGTGACATTCTTTTTGTGTGTACAAAAGAAAATTTAAACCGGATGTTTAGACGACAAGTGTTTAACACGAGCTTCTCTGATCCAGCACTGACAGCTGCAAGGTTGGACTCGTGGCTGAAAGAACTGCTCACTCTCGCACGTACCGAACAGTAAAGCCGAGAACAGTGTAATTTATTGCCAAAATTATCTATGAAACCTTCTTGAGAAAACTCGAGAAAGTGGGAACATTCTCGACTACAGATTGCTTCAAACAACAGCCACGAGTGTGGTCATTCTAGCGAGAGCTGTTGTGAGATCACGACAAGGGTGTCAGTTGTCACCGAAGCCGGTGTGGGGAACTGCTATAGTGTTAAATAAGCATTAAAAACGATATAACAAAACTATTCTGGATGGAGCTGGGTTCTCACTTGGGTGCTCTCCGAGGCACCTCTGTATTTTATCACTAATGCAAGCTGTTTTCTTCTTCATTTGCGGTTTGACGCCACACAGTCCCGTCGTTTGTTGTGCATATTAAAATACAGAAGAAACGATGCTCTTCCACGATGCTCTACCACGTTGCTCACTGGCATAGAGCATAGGACGCGCTATCTTAAAGTTGCACGTTTGAGTTACGCAAATGGCAAGTTATCTTTTCATCCACTTTCTTTTCTTTGCATTTGCTTTGCAATTACTTCTTGCAACGCCACCTATACCTCTCTATGCACCATTGTCTGTTAGTTCTCAAAGATATCGTGTCTAACGATGAGAAGTGGGGTTTTAAATTTACAATTTCTTTCACTCAAAGCGAGTCTTGTTGTGGCACACTCGATGTCTTCAAGTAGCTTGTGAAGAATCATTCGTCAGCTCCCAGGTCGTGATTAGATAACGGGCTACGCCATGCCAACAAGCAAAAGGAGTGTTCTACACTCGCTGAAATGGACCCTGGCGGCCCTAACTGGAGCTCCCAGAATTAAATGCGCATATGCCGAGTGCTCCAGTAATAATTAGCCAAGGGTTAAAATATAAACATTAAAGGTAGCTGACTGAAATTAATTGCCTATTATTTACAGCCATTTGCGCACTACACACCATTTCTGGTCTGCTAGATATAAATTTGTTAATGGCAACTAGGTAACTAATTTGCTGAATATTGCCTTTAGGTGACCAATTCAATTAAAAGCTCAAGGGTGTCCTCAGAAACCTACCGTTACATTATTTTCCATAAAGAAAGTCTCACGTATACCAAAAAAGCCCGCAAAATAAAAAAAATGGCAACATATCCACGGAGTGAATGATGGAGAGTGGAGCGAAGCATCCGTCCTTCCATTCGTTCTTGCTTCCGTCCGTCCATGCGTCCATCTGTGTGACCGTCCGCGCGTCCACTCGCCTGTCCACGCGTGCGTCTGTTCGTGCGTCCGCACGTCCATCTGTGCATCCATCCCTGCGTTCGTCCTTGCATCCGTCCCTGCGTCCGTCCATGCGTCTATCCGTCGGTGCAGCCATTCGTGAGTCCGTCCATGCATCTGTCTGTGTGTCCGTTCGTTCATGTATTCAACACTCCAGGTACCACCGTCTCGCATCTGTTCATCATATACTCCGCATATGCACCGCCATACAGCAGACATTCGAAGGACCAAACGAGAGCTGGCACACGCACACTTTCTTACGGCTTGCGCTTCGTGTCTACTTCCCACCTTTAAGCACCTCGAGTTCATGGTATATACTAGTTCACTGTATTCATGGCACTGCGGCCCAACACTCGCTAAACCTTTCTAAACAGAGGAGGTTATCCCCAGCGAGTATAACGTAGCAACCCTTTCTTGCCAGATAGTGCTCAATGTACATGCCATTGGCTGCTAAGGGGGAATGAGGGACATGAGAATTCGGCTTTTAGTTAACGCGCACGCTGCGAATTTTTTTGTTCAAAAACGCACAGAGAAAATCTGTGACAGGCACCACCTTGGAAGTCAAAATTCAAGACTAATTACACACTACGTTTACTACTACAGCTACGAGGGACGAACGGGTGCCGCTATAAGGAGCTTCGTCCCTAAAAGGAGCCCCGTGAGTGGCGCATTCGCGCACCGCGAACGTGCCACTCTTAATCGTGGTTTGAGCAAACGAAATCAGCTGCGGTGGCGGCTGGCCAGATCTCTAACAACAGTACGTCACGGACTCTAATGCAACAGAAACGCGCTTCAAACGCGGTGTCCTTAGCTGTGCCAACGCAGCACAAATGTATTTCAAGCGCCCTGCCTTAAGGCGGCGGCGAGTTAAGTTGAAGGCAAGGAGCGTTTGTACTTAGGTGTGTTACGGTGCCTTTTTGGCCCATTGCCAGCCACTTGGTGCGCATGGCGGCGGTAATTGTCATGGGTCCAGGCTAGAAAACGACAGCCAACTTACCCCCTATTCAGTAGCGCTCCTTCACTTCACTATTTAGCCACCATATCAAGGCAGCGCGTTAGAAAAGCGTTTGTGTTGCATTGTACGATTATGTATCTATTTATCTATCTCACAATCAATCCATCTCTCCATCAATCACTCCATCCATCCATCTCTCCATCAATCACTCCATCCATCCATCTCTCCATCAATCACTCCATCCATCCATCTCTCCATCAATCACTCCATCCATCCATCTCTCCATCAATCACTCCATCCATCCATCTCTCCATCAATCACTCCATCCATCCATCTTTCCGTCAATCACGTGCGCTTTTACACGAGACCCGTCGGTTCGCATTAGTTCAAGGAGTGGTCGTAATGCGGCATTGCATGAGGGGTAGGGCTGCTTGCGTCACGCGTGCTTCCTAGCACTTTCGCCAGGAGATGCGATAGACGTGTGTCCCTCTCCCTTATTACGAGTCTTTCAGATTTGTTCCTTCACGCCCCTCCTTCATGGGTCGAAGCATGGGTGCCGCCACCTCACAGCGCTATTTATGCAGCGGCGTCAACGTGACGCGTCTCCATTTGCGTCCCGCGTAGCGCCACGAATAACGACGCGCTATCTGAAAGCAACGTTTTACTTACAAAGCCAGCGGGACCACCAAGATTTTGATCACGACGAAGGCAAGGCGCCGCCCCACTGATTTGGACACAATCAAACAAAAATTACGTTATCTCATTCCCGTCTAGAGGCACAGCAAGAGGGGCTTTCTTCCCCATGACCGCAAACCACACGCGAAGACTAGGCAATGGGCGAAAAAAGGAAAGGGTTAGATAGAGGGTGTGAATTGCTGGATCAGGCGCATCTGGCTTTTTTTGATTAAACAGTGGGAAGGTGCAGGTTTTACAAATACGACTGTGGGATCAAGACGCGAATACAATGAAAACGTCACGCACGCCGTCAACGCTTTCCTCTATAGACATGTAACATACTCGTAGACAACAATCTATGGTATTCGGGTGTGCCCACCGATGACTGATCATTTTCATTTATACAGGAACGTCATTGATTGATTTGTGGGGTTTAACGTCCCAAAACCCCCATTTGATTATGAGAGACGCCGTAGTGGAGGGCTCCGGAAATTTTGACCACCTGGGGTTCTTTAACGTGCACTCAAATCTGAGTACACGGGCCTACAACATATCCGCCTCCATCGGAAATGCAGCCGCCGCAGCCGCGAATCGAACCCGCGACCTGCGGGTCATCAGCCGAGTACCTTAGCCACTAGACCACCGCGGCTGGGCTATACAGGAACGTCAAGAACGAACATAGGTAAATTAAATGCCAGCGCGTTAAGAAAAGCCATATGGGCAGCGTTGGCTGGATGAATGTGAAGTATAAAAGTAAGGAGCCGAGCAGGAATTCGACCGGACTTTCTCGGTGGAAGTCATGTATATTGCTACAAAATCATGCCAGGTCTTGACACTGTTTTGAAAGAACACATTATGCAGGCATAATGTCTGTCAAATGTAAAATGGTTGCAGTGATTGGTGTATACCACCAATACGGAGCAATAAATATCACACTTGTACTCCTATGACACAGGCGTCATGTGATGATATTGTGAAATAGGCTGCAATGTTAGCCCAATGTATATATATATATATATATATATATATATATATATATATATATATATATATATATATATATATATGATAAATGCAACGTTTTTAGGCTAGTAAACATCGCATTTTTATTTCCATAATTTCTAAAACTATATTGAAGTGTTTCTTGACCCCAGTGCCGGAAGCAAACGCAAGTTACCTATCATATTCAGTTCATTGCACCGTAACGTGTCGTTTTTAATAATGCCGACGCCTGTGCTCCTACGTCAGTCCTGACGTTACATCAGCTGATAAGTTTCCCCCTAAAGGTCAGTGTTTTTGACATTTTTGGTAAACTACGATGTACACACAACTACTAGACTTACAAAAAGATGCATATCTACACACATCCTATAGCACTTCTCTCATAGCCAAGAGATTCAGCATAGACATTACATTAGCTGTTTCGAATGAAATAATTTTTCTAAGACCTGGGGTCTCTAGAATATTTTATAAGTAGTTTCGAGCACTAGCATGCTTCTGTAACAGGACAACTGACTCCCCAAGGAGTATGCCTTGATTTGGTTCGAAGTCGAACGCCTATCTTTAGTCCTTGCTCTCACCGTGAGTTCTTGAACACAAGCAACGCACCGGCCGACAGTGACAGTCTGAGATCTACGACCAGGAACTTTGACGTATTCCCGAAAATAAGCAGCAACAACGGAACACACTCGACATTCACTGCAATGGCAAAGATGGTGGCAGCACAAAACAGTCACTAATTTCGTGCATGCAATGGCTTTTAACACGATAATTTGGAAGATTCATGCTCAGCGCAGCGCCACGTGTCGGTTCGGTACTTGGCAAAGAAAAGCTACGCGCGTATACCTTATATTTCTTTTTCAATTGTTTCCGTAAGTAGTTCAGAGATAAGAGACCTCAGATGAAAGACATTGCCCACTATATATTTGTGTTAAAGAGAGCAAGAAGACTACTTTTTTCCGGCAGTAAAGCAGCATCTACTGTACAGATGGAGGGAGGTAGCTACCCTAAACGGCTTAGTATAGTTTTCACCCATGCACCTTTATTCCTTATTAGAGCGTTTATTTTTCGTCCACCTGAAGCAGGGAGAGGCACACGAGCGGCTGTCTCCCTTGCCGTATACGACGAAACAATAATGCTTCTCCTGGCGCTGCTATCACACACTACAAAACTGCCCTACACAGTGCGTATACTCGAAACCCAAATTCTTTTTTCTGCATGGCCTCATTCTTACTCACTTTAATGAAATACAATACTGCGTATGCCGCGCCAATGCTTTCATCGTGGTGCCATATCTATTGCTGCATAATAAAAGTTGCATTTCTGAGAGAATTATCTTATTTTTTTTGGGGGGGGGGGGAAGTTTCGTTAACTCCGCCATTTTATCAGAGCATAAATTCAGACATAAAATGTCAAAGCTGTTTCCACGCGTAGCAAAAGTCTTTGTTGCGCACCGACTTCATCTTGCAACCCTTTAGTGAGAACACTACAGCCTAAGCATGTATTAAAAAGTTGCAAAATGCAACAGGCCCAGATCTCTGACCTCTTGTGACATGGCTTCGCCGCAGCTTGTTATTGCGCAAAAATCTACCTTTAGGGAAGCTAAGAATTGAGCTCGCAATATCAAAAAAATCAAAATGATATAAGCCGACGTAAACCTCGTATCATCTGGAAAGCACAAATGTTTTTATTTCTACTCCCTCGTTTGGCTCTTTCAGTCACAATACTTGAATGTTTACCATACTAGCCGAGGGTTCATCCCTTCGCTTACCATGCGCTTGAGAAGGTTTCTCACTGGAAACTCTCTCCATTCGACATCTTCTGTGCTGGCAGGTTGACCGTCAAGAAGACAGCAGTGGCCGGAATCAAGGCGGCACTGTTCGAAGCAGCTCTTGCAGAAAACGTGTAGACAGGGCAACAGTGCTGTCACTCTGGGCACTAGTCCACAGGCTTGGCATACTCGATACGACGGAAGGGGCTCCACAAAGCTCAGTGGTCTCCAGTCTAACTCATTCGAAAAACCAACTACGGTGCACCGCTGTGTCGAAGTGAGCATGGCGAATGCACCTTCAGCGTTTCCAGAATCAGGGCAACATCCACCTGTTGGAACGCAGAACAACGTCAATTTTTTATCGAAGTGGCGGTTTCCATGACTGCTATCACGCTGATAAGTCTTGCAGTCGGCTTGAAGCCAACCCTTGGTTCCCACTTCTCATATCGGGATTATACGCCCACGTTGCGCAAATAAACTCAGAGCTAAAGAGCGGCTGTGTGACGAAGGCAGACCGTACTATGACAATCGCACGAAAGAATATATTTAAAAACAAGGAAAATGTTAAGGTGTTTCAAAACAGAGACATTTAAAAATAAACTGCCGTAGTCAACTCCTGCTCATGAGGTGCTGACAGCGCACTCGTGTGGTCTGTTGATTGGCCTATAGAGTGCGAAAGTGGTCGAATTTGACTTTGCGTGTGTATTACTAGAGTTAGAATCATAGCTGGTCGGGGCAAAGGTGTCGTAACAAAACCTTATTTGGCTATCATTCACATGTGAATATACTTATCTGAATTATCTCAGAAGTATTTTTGAAGTTTCGAGAAGGCGAAGGAATTACACAAAATTTAAGATTCTTCTATGAAGAAAATGAGGCGTAATGCTTGGGCTGTGCGTGCCATGTTTGCCACTTTTCTTTTTTTTTAGTCTCTAGCGGTGCTTCTCTTTGTCACTTTTTCGTCCCTGCGTATTTCACTACGTTGTTGACAAGTATTTTTGTCGCTGCTTCTTTCTAGCACCCTAACAGTCAGTTTTTTTTGTGTATGCGCTGTGACCATGTCTGATATTGTCTCTGCTAGTTTCTTCTTTCCGTAACTCTGTTTTTTTCTTTATTTGTGTCTATATCTTCGACGAACAAAAAACTTGATACGTTGCAGAAGTGGCATCAGTGTGCGCCAGTGCAGTTTGCAATATGCTTAATCAATCACGTCTCGTAGCCTGAACGTGAGTGGTTGGTCATGCGTTCGTATCATGGCGAAAAGAAATTGAGGCAAATTAAAAGGACGACTGATCTGGACAAAACGTTATACTGGCGTATCAGTACTACCTAAAGGCCGACAAATCCATTATCGAGAGTTCATACGAATGCATGTCAGCGTGGAGCTGTGGCCGGTCTCGGGGCACCCAAGAACCACTTTACAAATGGTTTATGTGCCAATTTTGTGAGACCGAATTTGATGATATCACTGCCACGCAGGTCTTGTGGCTGGAAGGTAGGGCCTGTAATTAGGTAATTCTCGCTTTTTTAAAGAGGATAGTTTTTCTTGGGAACCTTCTAAACAAAAAGTTTTGTCTGTCTGTACAATTGTCTATTTGTCCACGCTTAACGTTACCGGCCATTTCAAACGGCAGCAGCGGATACCCCGAATGACCGACCCAATCCGCAGTGCCAAGCAATGTTGCTCAAGCTTCAGCGTCAATACTTGTGCGATAGCCAAATACAAAGCAATTATCGCGCATATCTAAGGCACCATAACAACACGTATATATTCTGCATGTGCGCCTTTTACTAGAACCAGCATACATAAGTTATTCTGAGGACCGTAGCGTTTGTCACGCGCCGCTGACTCTGCAACGCTTGCACGAAAAGGGAAGTGTTTCCAATGCTCTGCTAAGACGACATGGTGGTGGCACTTGCCCGTCGCCTTGCGTTCTACACCTTGTCACCTCTGATACGGTGCGCACGCCCGTCTAAGAGCCACGCGTCTAGGTTTCCGAGATAACGGCCAGATTGCGCTCATGTCTCACGTTTGACGTGACTTAGTGCGCTCGTTCGCCTCCGCTGCACGCTCGAGGCACTCTAACGCCGCACCTCCAGATCACCATTCACCGATTTTTTTTTTAGTAGAACATGAAATAAACGTTTTGTTCAATCTCTCAGACGCAAGACTTTCGCCTTTTGACGACATCTGCAGAATAACATGCAGATACGGGGCAAATTTTTAAGCTATGGTCCTCAGGCCTGGCCGACCTTGACCACCCGATCTGAGGACGTTACGCCATTCATTTTTACACTTGCTACACGAGCCACATTTGCAGCAGTCAGCCGCATTGGTGTAACGGCTAAAGTGCTCCGCTGCTGACACGAAAGGCACGAGTTTGATTCCGGCCGCGTTGCTCACATTTCGATGGAGACCAAATGGTAGACGCCTGTGTGCAGTGCGATGTCAGTAGACGTCAAAGAACTCTAGATAGATCCTATGTCTGAATCCCTCCAGTGGGGAGTCTCTCATAAACATATGGTTGTTTTTGGACGTAAAACCCGAGATGTCGTTGTTACATATGCATGTGTAATTTCGACACGGCAATATATTATGCATCTGTGCAGAGCTTCAAAGTATAAAAAACGACAAAAACAAAAGAAGCATACCATGGTGACACGCAAACCGTCGACGGCTGCCATCAAGTGCACTCCAATTGTCGTGTTTTTGATATATTACGATGGCCCACCAAAATCCATAACTAGCAGAAGTCACAAGCTGCAAAGCACTTTTACACTCATGTGTGGACTAGTATACAAGATAAGAAAAGCACTGGTTTCTTTAGGCAGCGCCAAGGGGGGCACAAATATCAGCGCTTGTTCCATTAGCCGCACAATTCAATTCGCAGAGCAGATTCTCAGAGACAAAATACATTAAATTTAGGTCCCGCAATACACCCATCGATCAGGAAATAACCAATGCTTATGCAGGATTGAAACTGGAGCAAATAACAAACCGAAAGTTTATTTGAGTAACATTTAATGAATAGTTAAGCTGGAATGCACATATTAGCCAACTGGGTATACACTTATCAAAACGTTTTCGTATTATGCACAGAATTTTTAAACTGATTCCACTATGGTTGAAACAAAAGGTGTACAATTGCCTTTTGCAATCTAAGCTTTGCTACGGAGCTCTGGCGTGGAAAACGATAACTAAAGAAACTGTGAGAAGCTTGTACTTCTACAGATAAAAGCTTTCCAGCTGTATACCAGCCACAAAAGAAATCACGCAAACTGGAGGACAGCACCTCTATTTCAACGACATAATATGCTTCGTGCTGATTAAGTCAACTACATGGAAATTGCAGAAGGGTTTCCTGAAGAGCCAGATGTACATGATACTGAAGAGAACAGCGCAAGAAAACGGGAAAGGGAAAGAGCCAACACACGACACAAAAACGCTGACGAACAACTGTGTGTAAATTATTACACCTGCAAATATATAGCTGAAAGCGGAAAACAAAAACAAAAACCATCACTTGCACATAGGAGTGAGAGGCAAAAGCGATTCTGCCTCGAGTCGAAATGTGTAATTTAACTGCTCAAATACATTATCTCTTATTCCAGGAGCGTGAGTGAAGGCTCATTGACGCACATGTTTCCTTACGTCTTGATATAAATTATCATCATCATAATTATCATCATCATCATCATCAGCCTGACTACGTCCACTGCAGGACAAAAGCCTCTCCCATGTTCCACCAGTCAACTCGGTTCTGTGCTTGCTGCTGCCAATTTACACCCGCTAACTTCTTAATCTCATCTGCCCACCTAACCTTCTGTCTCCTCCTAACCCGCTTGTCTTCTCTGGGAATCCAGTAAGTATGAAAAGCCTCGGTAATTTCGCGCAATGTTTTCTGTTTTCAGCTATATATTTCCAGGCGTAATATATTTACACACAACTGTTCGTCAGCGCTTCTCTCGGGTGTTCATTCTTTCTCCGTCCCGTTTTTTTTTTGTGCTGCTCGCTTCAGTACACGCAAATGTTACAAATTATATACAGCAGTGAATTGTACGAGCACAATGCAGGAGCTAGACAACACAGTTTTTCCATCCGCCAAAGCTTACGCCGTCCACAACGAACACGAACGAACTATGGCAAACGAACGTTTATCTACGTAACAACCAACATAAATAAATAATCAAACAAATTGGAACAATTCCTTAATTTTGATTGTACGGAAAGTCCTTCAAGGTGCAAGTTAAGAAAGTGCTAATGCAGGTGAACGTACGGGTTGATGGATCATAAAAAAGTGTAATAGGCCAGCGATGAAAATTTCTACTAAATGTGTTGTGCTAACTACGAAAATGCTATGCATATCACATGTCTTTAATGTTCTAGACTAATTTTTTTCCTCAGTGATTATTATATGTTAAGTATAAACTTGCTGTGTATAGTTAAAGCCACATTCAATGTAACATGAAATCTTTTGTGCGATTTATTTCTTCTATTTCTACTTTTGTTCATGATGATATGGATGTCAAGAACACAGTTTTTGTGTTGTGCATATGTTTCCTTTTCAATCAAGGCTGATTATTGTAAAAATATCTGTGCTGTACTATCCGCGTACAAACGTGTTTCGTTTCTGTCAGGCTATATGCCTTTAGCCCCAACATTGTTTTGGTTTTTTGACAAAAACAATTTTTTGATATTGAATTTGAAAAAGGTGCATTCTCAGTCTGATGCATTGTTTGTCCCCCACTCACATTGAAGTCTTCTGCACGTCAGTGGTGTCGCATAACATCTTAAATCTAGTCGTATTCGACCAAAAAAACAATGTCAAGTGATCCCGTCACACATTTCAGAGATTTACGTGGTGATGACGCTTCAAAAGGGCGACACCTGTAGATCAAAGTGACAT